CCCAACCTTCCTTCCAAGGAGTGGCTGGTGGGTTTGAACCACCAGCCTTCTGGTTAGCAGTCAAGTGCCTTAGCCACTACGCCACCAGAGCTCACAGGTCTGACTAGAGGGGTCATTTCTGAAGCTCTTGCCCACTCAGACTCTGGATTTCAACCTCATAGGTCAACGGGCCACCACGTGTCTCTTGTGTGTCATACTACAGTGGCTGGCCTGTTGCTATGATGTTGGGCCACCACGTGTCTCATGTGTCACACTGCAGTGGCTGGCTTGTTGCAATGATTCTGGAGGCCACGCCACCAGAATTTCAAGTAACAGCAAGGCCACAGAAGTCAGCAGAGCCTCCAGGTTAAGACACATGAGGAAGAAAGGCCTGTCAGTCTACATCTGAAAATCAGCCACTAACAACCCTGCGGGTCCCCACAGAACACTGTCTGCTCCAGTGCTGGGAGACAAGCCCCCGGGTTGGAATGGAGGATGGAAGCCACACAGTGGCTCCAACAAAGGACTCAAGCCCTCCTCAAGATGGCGCCGGGCCAGGTAGCATCTTACTCTGTCACACACAGGTCACCGTGAGTCAGAGCCAACTCAACAGCAACCAACAGGCAGATGAGAACCTAAGGGGGTGAGAGACACGGGAGGGCCTTTCTCCTGGGAGACCTTTCCAGGCCTGGCCGAGGACACACCCTGCCAGGAGCCCTCACCAGTGTCCTGGTCCATGCCGGTGGTGACAGTGATATCATCGATGTAGGTGGTGGGTGTCGTGTAGAGGAGGACGGGCCGGTGCAATCCCGCGTAGTTGAAGAAGTCAAAGTTCGTGTTCTGGACAAAGTAGCCTTTGGGGTACCTGGTGCGGGAGGACATCCGCGAGTCAGGGTTACCCTGGGCCCTTCAACCTCAGCTCTCTGCTAAGGCCACCCTACCCTATCAGGAGGGCCACTGGGCAGGGTGGGGCGGTGGGGCAGGGCTGCTCACTTGGAGGTGTCTGTCTTGTAAAGGATGGTGCCTGGAGGCAAGGTGTTGGGCGTGAGTGTGTTGTTGATGGCGATGGTGATTCGGCAGGACTCCAGGGGGCCGGCCTGCACCAGCGTGCTGATGTCGACCTCGAAGGGGAGGTGGCCCCCCTCGTGCTCTGCCATGTGGACCCCATTCACCCACTGCGGACACGAGGAGGGGTGGCAGGCTGGGGCATGAGAAGGAAGCCCTGCATCTCACCCCCACCCTACCAACACCCAGGACACAGAACCCACACGGACTGTGAGTATATTCCCTAATCCCGAAGGCAGCTGATGGCTGGGAGCCAGGAACCCCAAGGCAACACCACACGTGTCTGCCCGCTTTGCCTACTACCTGCCACACTCACCACAATAGCATAGTAGTGGGCACTGCCAAGCCTCAGCACCACTCTCGTGCCCAGGTCCTGGGTCCATCGCAGGGGCAGGACCGTCTCCCGCTCGTACCACACCCAGCCAATGAAGCCACGCAGCCGCCCATCCTGAGTCACGTCATTGAAGCTGGAGGGGACCGGCATGTCCAGGGTGGGGCCCAACTGCAGGGAGAAGACCCAAAGTCAAGGGCAACAGGCAGGAGTCTGTGACCAGGACCCCAGAGATCAAGAGGAACTGGCCGGCCAGGTCCCCCAGCAGCCTTGCTGGAAGGAGGTAGGCTGGGTAAAATGCCTTCCCCCAAACGTGGGGATTCTCGGCGGCCCTACCACCACCATTCTTTGCCAGCAACGGCCCAAAGCCGATGATGTGAATCCTCACAACGGCTCAAAATAGCAAACGCCCACAGCACTGTCCTTGGTGCTAGGTGTACAACCGTTAACAAGGTGGTGCTGTTGCTCTGAGCCAAGGAAAGAAAACCAAATCAGCACGTGCTGTCCAGCGCCTGATTGGCACTAGGAAGAAGATAAGCCAGGGCCCACTGGATACCACCAGAGGCCAGCCCTGGAATCCTTCAGGTAGAAAGCAAGGCAGTAGCAGGCCAGAGAGAGGGGACTCAGTGATCCTCACAGCAGCCAGAGATAGAGTCTTCTTTAGAAACTGTGTGTGTGTGTGAGAGAGAGAGAGAGAGAGAGAGAGATGGCGAGAGAGAGGGAGAGATGGTTTACTGTCCACCTGGACCACTAGAGGAGCTCCTGAGACTGCCAACAGACGACGTGCTCAGCTGTGCCCTGAAAGGTTGGCGGTTCGATCCACACAAGGAAGGCCTGGCAATCTCCTTCTGTAAACGGAGCCACTGAAAGCCGTATGGTGCACAGTTCTAGCCTGACACACATGGGGTCACCGTGAGTCGGCACTGACTTACTTCACAACTAGTAAAGTGGGCTGCACTGGGACATGCAGGAAACAAAGGACCTTCTTTATCTGCCCTTCACAGCGGTGTGCCCCGCGCCTGGCACAGATCCGGGCACACAGAAAGGAGTCAGTAAGTGTTTGTGGACTGGATGGCTCATTTGGTGGTGGCAGGGTGGGGTGAGCCCAACCAAGGGTTGGTGGGGCCAGAAGTCCTTCCTCAGGCAGAAGGCACCAAGGCCAAGGGTCTCCAGGGAGAAGCTGAGCTCAGGACCACAGCCGGCGGGAGAGGCAGGACCAACCTGCGGGTATCAAAACTGACTGAAACCCGGATGATTCCGCGGGGGCCGCGTGGTGGAGGAAACAGTGAGGGGGCACAGGCCTGGCACCCCACTCCCCCTTCCTCTGCTGAACAGCCCAGCACAGAGGAAAAGAACCTGGGTGAGGCCAAAGCCACAGGGGCCCCAAGACCTCCCTCCACCCCACTTCTCTGCCAGGGCCCCACCTAAGTCAGGAGGGAACAGCTGAGCTGCGGTCCCTGGCTGGCTGGCTGGGTGGCGAGTCGCATGCTCTCTCTGAACCTCGCCTGCCAGGGCAGAGCTTGTCCCGAGATGTCCAAACCCACCCCTCAGCCCCAGCCAGGGTCTGGGTGCCGCTGACACTGCGGCTTCGCCCTTCCTCCAGGCAGGGGTGCTGGTTCCTCCCCCGTCCCTCTCCCGCCCCCCAGAGCCCAAGCCCGTTAATCCTCTCACTTCCCCTTGGCCAGAAGCTCTGAGCACAGACAAAAGACACCCCACTTCCCCCACGTGGCTTCTAGCTCGTCCCCACCCCAGCACCCGGGTCGCTGCCCATACAGCGGGGGTGGGCTGCCAGGCCTGCGTCCCTTCACAGCCTCCCTCCCTGCGGGAATCCTCCTCCTCCGGGCCGGGGTCTGACCTCCCGCAGCGGCCGCTTGTACCACTGCTGCTCGAAGCCCTGGCGCCGGTTGTCGGAGAAGTCCGCTCGGAAGCTCCAAAGACCGCCGAGCTCCTTGCGCTCCCGCGACGGGCTCTCCCGGGGATACAGCATCCCGCCCTGCAGCGCCAGCCCGCAGGCCCAGAGCAGCGGACCGACCACCGCCAACACCGGCGTGCCACCCATGTCTGGCGCCCGAGCTCCGCCCCCAATGGCTTTAGACCTGCTCCCGGCCAGGGCGGGCCCGGGGGGGGGGGGGCGGGGAAGAGGGGGGTCACGTGGCCAGAAAGCGCTCGGTCACGTGGGCCGCGTGAGGCCTCGCTCGCCATTTTGATTGAGGGCGCCTGACAGGACTGGAGGAGTCTGGGAGCTCGGAGCCGCCAGCAACGTGTTCCTGCCAGACTGAGGGCGGCGGCCCAAAGTTAGGCATCTGGGAGGGCCACTCGTAGCCCCAGTGCAGATGGGCAGAGGCCCAGGACGCCCTTCCACCCGCAGAGACCTCCGTGCCAGCCCGTCCCGCCCCGCAGGCACTGCCAAGCCCCCAGGCAGGGCGGTCAAATCGGGGCTGCGGGCCTGCGGAACCCCGAGAAATCCCCCACAGCGGAAGGGCGGCTTCCCAACGTTTCTACTGGGAGGCTGGCTTGAAACGCTTCCACTCGTTCATCCTGCCCAGCGCTGGTGAAGGCCTCTCCCCAGGGACACCTGACCCAGGCGCGGCGACCTGGCCTGGATACAACGGTTCAAGTATTTCCCAGTCTTTTTCTTGTTCAGCAAAGCAATCTTCCGATACGGGACCTTGATACTGAAAATGGAGGCCCCCAGGCTAGTAGACACACATGTATTCTCATCAGCAACTAGTTACCCGAGTCCCTGAGTCAGGGGCTTTGCTGCTAACCACAAGGTTGCAGCTTCAAATCCCTCGGGAGGCAGCTCAGAAGGCCTGAAGCGCTCCTGAAAAAACCCCTGAGAATCGCTGCACGGGAACTGGGTTACCGGTAGGAACGGCCAAGGTGGAAAACTTTTCTCCAAAATGCTTGCACTATAAAAATAGGAGAGAAATAGGATACAAAAGTCGATGTAGTATGAGCCGAAGATTGTTAAAATTATGTCCACACAGAGAAATAGATAGTCAAAAATAAGAGTTTCATTGACAAGTCAGAGTTAACAGGGTGTGTTGCGTGAGAAACTATGAACAGAGAACATTCCAGAACTGAAAATGGTGAGGGACTTGAGCTACAGTTACAATGCCCTTGTTAATCCTCAATTAGTTGGTATCTTGCCCTTTGCTTTGATTGGTTGATCATGTTTAATTTTCCTTGTATTTTGGGAAGATGGGTCACAGAACACTAAACTGGCTTATCTTGATTGCGTGAGTGTTGCTGACTCATGCTGGCAGATAAGGAAAACTGAGCTGGGATGTTGCTTCTTGTGTAAATGGTCTTATGACTAGTTTTTGTTTGGTTTTTGGACTAAGGGAGCTATCTTAACTATTGCCTTTAAAACGTTGAATTGAGTGTTGAGCTGTGATCTTGGGCAGAAACTGGCTGCTTTATGACATTATCTGCTTGATCCACTGTCTCCGAATAGCTGTCTACTTCCAGGGAGCGTCCATTTCTGGGATACAGTGATCCTTAGATCACTTCGAGTTAGAGTGTTAAAGTCATTAAAGTCTCATGGACCAAATCTGAAAGGGGTGCTTTTTAATTAGGAGCCATGTACCCAGGGCCCACCTTGTTGAGTTTTACTGCTGTATAAGTGGTGGGCAAGACTTGGGATGGTCCTTTCCAGTGGGATCCTAGGGCTGAGTTTTGATTTTGTTTTGTTTTTAATGTCTTTTCCAAAATACGAAATTGCTGGTTCAAGACTGTATGGGACATGTCTTCTTTCAGGGAAGGGATCCTGAAAGTGGCTGACATGTATTGGGAATAAGCATGGGAGTGGGCCATTGGTCCTTTGGAATGTTGGATCATGTTACCCTTTGGAAGGACTGGGTCTGTGTAAGGTCTTGCTCCTAAAGGCATGGGGTATCCTGTCAGAGTTTCGTAAGGTGGTAGCTGATGCTTTCCTGATAAGGTGGACCTAATAGCCGTGAATGCCAAAGGAAGTACTTTTGGCTAGATAGAGGTAGAAATTCTGCGAACTGAGACAGTTTTTATTTTAGAGTCCCGTTTTTTCCCTCTGCTTTATCAGATGACTGGATGATAGTGGCAATGTAGATGTTGCCAAATTGGCATAACATGCAGATTCTTTTGATATTGGACAATTTAGAAGGCATGCCCAAAAGAGGAAAGTCTTGCTCTAACTATTTTTAGCTACTGTAGTAGCTTGCCTTCAGCAAGATAACCTTCAACCTTATCCAGAAAATAGACATATAATTACAAACATATACTTGTATCCTATAGATGGAGGAAGTTGGATAAAGTCGTCTGCAATGTTCAAAAGGTCCAGTTGATTGAGATGTAACACCAGGTGAGACTTTAAGTCTCCATGGATAGATTGGCAAGAGTAGCATTGATTATATATATATATTTTTTTAGCTTGTTTTTTTGCAGTTACCCTACTAATATTTGCCCATAACCAAAATTATTTTTATTTCAATTCCATTGTGTGTGGTTGCATGCAAGGCTTGAAGAAGGGGAAATTTTAGGTATTCTGGGATGAACAGGTGACTATCTGGGTCATCCCAGAGTCCCTTCCTGGGATTTATTTTACAATCCTGGAGTTTACAATCTTGTTTTCAATTTCAGAGGCTCCTGAACCCTTCCAAGATTATCTGGGGATGTTCCATTAAGAGGGACTTTATCCAGGACACAGAGTTGTTTGGGAGCTCAAAAAGTTTGAGTAGTAGCTGGTTTAGCACAGTAATCAGAATATTTCCTGGATATTCAGGATTTGGTATATGGGTACGAACCTCGACATAATGGGTACGAACCTCAATATCTGTGACAGCAGTTTCTTTAGTCAGTAATGAAGCATCTAATAATTTAGCTATTTGTCTGGCTTTTTACTGGGGCTCTAGTATAAGTGAGAAGCCTTCTTTGTTTCCAGAGTCATGGACTACTTCAAAAGCATATTTATTATCTGTATAAGGGTTTACAGGATGATCCTTTGCCAAATGACAGACTTGAGTTAGTGTGGTTGACCCAGCCTCCTGGGAAAATTTGTGATCTAGGGTTACCTTTACTATGAGGTTAGTATAAGCAGCTTTGGATAACCATCCTGATACTTCCTTTGTTCAGTTTTAACCCAGGAACAAGTAACATTAAATCAGGAGTTTTTAATTGGTGTTTTTCTGGGGTCTGAGCAAGAGCTTGACAAGTAGGAAACAAAAGATAATGAATGACAGGCACAGTTCAGCCAACTAGCAATTCAGGACATGGTGTGACAGCCAGGAGGCCTCCTTGGCATTCTTTAAAGATATCTCCATGTCCTACAGCTGATAGGAGGCTGTAGTGAACTTTGGGCCCATATTTATACACAAGGTAGCAGAGATGTTAGCGACAAAGCCCTGATAGAGAAAAAGTGAGACCCTGAGATCGAGCATATTGGACATTAGGGTGATTGTGCCTGAAAGTCTGGAACCTCTAGATTCACCAGAATCCTCCGGCCAATTAAAAACCTTCCCTTGAAAACCACGTGAAGTTCTCACCTGAAGAGGATACCTCACAAGCTGTCCTCCTCCAAAACCAAACCCTGCTCCCCTTCTTGCCTCAGAACAACAACTGGGGTCAAGTCTCAGCCTGGAATGGAGAAAGAGATACGGTCCCTGCTCCGAGGAAAGAGCTTCCTTACCCATTGGAAGAATTACAGGAACTGACTGATATGTACTGACAGGAAAAGGAGACCATGTGAGGGAGTGGTATGGAGCATGTCATAATAAGGCATGGAATGTAAAGCTGGATTGGGGAGGTTTTACTGACATGGGGTTACTCTTCTGTGGCTCAGGATTTAATGTCCTAGAAAGGGTATCTTGAATCCATCCTAATACACTCCTGTGATGATGATTCTTCAAACCTAGAACTCATAGTGACTAACTGTAAATGAGGTGGGAATGGTGGAATCACCTTGACGGAGTACTGAGGAAGGCCAAGTGCAAGCCATCCCCTGTCCCCTCATCCCACCCACTGACAGTAGAACAGAAGCAATACTGCACCGAAGTGGAACTGCAGAAATCGGAGTCACCATCAAATGCAATATGTGCAAGAGCAGTGGTCCCCATTACACCCCCACCCAAAACCACATCAATCATGAGGGGTGAGGGTGCGTGTCCTAGCTACCAGTATTCCATAACAGAAGTGGGGAGCTTTAAAGAACAGAAACTCATTTTCACACAGTTCAAGAGGCCAGAAGTCTGAATTCAGGGCACCAGCTCTAGAGAGAGATCCTTCTTTGTCGATTTCAGATTTCAGTAACCGGTCATCCTTAGCATTCCTGGGTTTGTAGATTCATCTGCTACACTGCCCGATGGCAGCTGTCTCCCCCCGTGTGTGTCTCTGTGTCTGTTCTACTCGTTTGAGAACTCAGAAGTGATTAGAGTTAGGGCCCAGCCTACACTGGCATGACCTCAGTCGATTGATGAGGAGTCCCCCAGGGTAGTAGACACACATGTATTCTGATCAGAAACTAGTTACCGGAGTCCCTGAGTCGTGTGCTCAGCTGCTGACCAAAAGGTTGGAGCATCAGATCTACCCAGAGGCACCTCAGACAAAAGGTCTGAAGCTCTCCTTCTGAAAAATCAGCCTCTGAAAAAACCCTGAGACACTCCACCTGTGACTGTATTACTGTAGATATTAGATCACACCCATGCCGTTGTTGTTGTTATGTGCTGTTGAGTTGGACCCAACTCATAGTGATCCCTCCTTGGGTTTCCGAGGTAGTATCACTATAGAAGTAGATTGCCCAACCTTCCTTCCAAGGAGTGACTGGTGGGTTTGAACCTCCAACCTTCTGGTTTGCAGTGAAGTGCCTTGGGCACTATGCTACTAGAGCTCCTGATCACACCCTTAGGTATAAACAAAGAAAACAAGCCTATTGCCATCAAATAATTTCTAACTTACAGTAAGCCCACGTATTACAGAACTGCTCCTAGGGTTTTCTTGGTTATAATCTGCACAGAAGCAGATCACCAGGTCTTTCTTCTTCAGCACTGCAGGGCGGGTTCAGACCACCAACTTTGAGGTTAGCAA